TAATCTATTCAAATGCTGTGCAACCATAATTGCTAATTCCAGAACATTTTCATCACCCCCAAAAGGAAACCCTGTACCCATTAGCAATCACTCTCCCTTCCCTTCCCCCAGCCCTTGGAAACCACGAATCCACTCTCGGTCTCTGTGGATTTGCCTGTTCTGGATGTTTCGTATCAACAGAATTGCATACTGTATGGTCTTTTGGGTCTGTTTTCTCTCACTGAGAATCATGTTTTCAAAGTTCATCCATGTTGTAGCATGTGTCAGTACTTGACTCCTTTTTAAGGCTGAATCATATTCCATTGTGTGGATGGAGCACATTGTGTTTATCCATTCATCCACTGATGGACATTAGGGATGTCCAGTAGCTGTATCATCCTCTCCATGGTCCCATGAGTCAAAAATTATTAGCACCTCACAGAAATTCCCTTTTTGCAGAGGTACTCAGTAAATATTTGCTGAATAAAAGGAATGAATGGGGACTTCCCTGGTGGCTCAGTGGTTAAGAATCTGCCTGCCAATGCAGGGGACATGGGTTCGAGCCCTAGTCTGGGAAGATCCCACATGTCGCAGAGCAACTAAGCCCGTGTGCCACAACTACTGAGCCTGCAAGCCACAACTACTGAAGCCCGCGCGCCTAGAGCCCGCGCTCCGCAACAAGAGAAGTCACCGCAATGAGAAGCCCGCGCACCGCAAGGAAGAGTAGCCCCCGCTCGCCGCAACTAGAGAAAGCCTGAGCACAGCAACGAAGACCCAACGCAGCCAAAAATAAATAAATAAATAAATAAATAAATAATTTTTAAAAAAGGAATGAATGAATGAGTTTCTCTTCCCTAGCGTGTACCACCCCCTGGCATCCTATACTCTTGACTCCTGTTTATTGCCTGCCTCCTCCATCCCCCAGGACACCAGCCCCACGAGAGCAGGCATTTTTGTCTGCTTTGATCGCCACTGCATCCCCAGAGCTGAAACAGTGACTGGCTGCACCAATTCCCAATGAATGAAGAGTGAAATAAAGGGGTCATTTCAATCTGACCCCTGCGTCAGCCCCGGGAGGCCAGCAGGTTGCAGATCAGCGATGCCTGTTTTTCCGAAGAAGAGAGGCCCGGAGGGACCTATCGAGTCTGGGTCTGGGATGTATCATGAGCATGGTCACCAGTTTCATGCGTGCAATTATTCAATTAATCGCAACTCTCCGCCCTGAGGGCAGGAACCATGCCCTCCTCGGTTCTGCGGGACCTGGCATACAAGAGGTGCCCCGTAATTAATTGCTGTTGCTGTGAGTTTTGAGGAGGAGAAAGGCAGAAGGAGGTGTGGTTTAGAGCTCATGGGACCTGCTGGTCACAGCCAGGCGCTCAGAGAGGGGCGGGCCTCCCGCCTGGGCCACACAGCATCCAGGGAAGAGAGAGACTGGAGTTACTAGCACACTGCAGAGGCCAACAGTGCCAAGGCTGTCAGAAAAGAAGGTGGGGACCCTGTCGAAGGTGTGCACTGCAGCCTACACCCTCCCACACACCCTCCCCGCTCTTATCTCCCTGTCTCTTTGATACCCACCCACCCCCAGACTCCCCCTACTCATCCCCACCCCTGTGCCTTTCCTATGCAGCTCCCCACGCCAGGCACACCATCCCTTTGTTCTGAATCTGAGCATCTGAGAGGGAGTTTTCTAGAGAGGATGAGATGCGGAGCTTCTGAAGCTTTGGCAGGATCCCAGGGAAGAAATTCAGCAGCACAGCTGCCTCTGGGAGCCTGGGGTGGGGGGTGGGGGGCCTTGAAACATCTCCCCACACCACTTGAAACTCGCCTAAGTTGTCAGCAGCCCAGAAGGAGGCCACACCTGGAGGCCACCAGGCCAAAGCAAACAGGTGCCAGCTAGAGCGGCCCACACCTTGACTTCTCCCCCTGCCCCACCTGCCCCAGCCCCTCCCACACCCCCGACCTCTGTTCCTGTTGGATGGCCCTTCCTGGCTCTCGCTTAGACCGTGAAACGCAGCCAGGTATTCCAGCTGCCCCCAGATCATCAACTCCCCCATGCTCCAAAGTCAGCCACGGCTCCCGCGTGCCCTGACGATGCAGCACGCACTCTTTTGCCCTGCTTTCCTGATTTAGCCCCTGGAAACCTCATCAGCACTTTTTCTCTCCTTCGTTTCCTCCCCCTCAGGCAGGCAGCCTGGGCGTTGGCTTGAAGCTACCAGTTCTTTTCTCTCACCTCAAGACCTTTGCATATGCTGTTTCCTTTGCCCCATACACCTGAGAGAATATTTACTCATTCCTTAAGCATCAAGGTTCCCTCCCCATTCAACAAACAGAGGCGTCACCCTCCACCCCATGGTTCCTCACCATCCCACATCTGCCCCCTGTTTTTCTCCCTTTGCCACGAGCTAACTGTGGGGGTGTCCATTTCTAATTCTGAACCACCAGCCCAACAACCTGGGGGCACTGAGCCTCTCTGGGAGCCCGGCATCACCCAGCACAGGTTGGTTTACAGCACTTTTGTTGAATGAATGAGTCCGTCAATGAATACAGGATACATTTCAAACACTCCAACTCAGCACTGAAAACCTCATCTTTATCTCTCCCCATATTTTAGCCACAGAGACGTACTTTCCCAAACTGGTTGTCCCTCTTTTACTTCCAGGACTCAGCACACCCTTTTCTTCTGCTCTCTTCCCCAGACTCCTGCCCTACTTGGCGAGGTCCTATTCATCCTTCAAAAGCCAACGCCTAGGTGCCCTCCTCTAAGAAGCCGAGTCCTCCAGTGCATCCTTCGTCTGTACCCTGACCGTGTGTTGGGCTGGGCTCTACTTCTTCCAGCCCCAGGCTCAGAGCTCCTTGCACGCAGATCAACAAGAAAGCAAAAGATTCTTCAGAGAACACTGTTTTCCAATTATGAGCTGTGATTCCTAAGTGGATCATGACAAAATCCATGTGAACAGATTTAAAAAATTTTTCTGCTATATATGTGGTCTTTCATTGACATACCTAGATCAAAAGCATGCTTTTAAAAACCTGTCTAGGGCTTCCCTGGTGGCGCAGTCGTTAAGAATCCGCCTGCCAGTGCAGGGGACACGGGTTCGAGCGCTGGTCCAGGAAGATCCCACATGCCGCGGAGCAACTAAGCCCGTGCGCCGCAACTACTGAGCCCGTGAGCCTAGAGCCTGCGCTCTGCAACAAGATAAGCCACCGCAATGAGCAGTCCAAGCACCGCAATGTAGAGTAGCCCCTGCTCGCTACAACTAGAGAAAGCCCGCGCACAGCAACAAAGACCCAATGCAGCCAAAAATAAATAAATTAATAAAAAAAATTAAAACTAAAAAATTAAAAGCTGCTTAGTAGTTTGACAACTATTCAAGCCCTACAAAGATTAGTGAAAATGTTATGGCTTTTGTGTGGTCCATGTGCTAAGGATGATGTTTCCAATTTTAAAAGGGACTTCTCTGGTGGTCCAGTGGTTAGGACTTGGCACTTTCACTGCCAGGGCCCGGGTTCGATCCCTGGTGGGGAAACTAAGATCCCACAATCCCTGAGGCACAGGAAAAAAAAAAAAAAAAAGGTTGAAAGAGGATGTCATGGAGGGGAATTTTGCATGAGAGCGCATGGATGCAGAAGCGGCCCACATCTGAGCCAGCCCTCTCTCCGTACCTTCTGTGGGGTGGGCTGGACAGGGAACTTTCTGGACTGCAGGGACTGCTAGGGAACACAGAGCAGAGGAGACCAGAACCCCACACCCTCTTCTCAGCCTCCAGACACCAGCACATTCAGCCCTCTCCCATTATATAGGGAAGGCCACCGAGGACCAGAAAGGGTCGGTATCTCTGGCTCAGGAGAAGCAAAAGCTGGGGCGACCTCAGGGACCCCTTGAATCTCAAACTCTTCCCTCCCAGCTCTGGGAAGTGGTGAGGTCAAAGGTAACAGAGTCAGAGCAACCTGGCACTGAGCTCCCCTCCCCCAAAAAAACACCTCTCCCGGATATGCCAAGTTCAAATCCCACCTCTAAGTACCACGGTTACCCTGGGCATATCCTTCAATCTCCCTGAATGCCTGTTTCTTAATCTGGAAAATGGGATTAACTAACTCTATATACTATACATGCTGCCTAATCCCCAATGTCATGGTGAAGATTAAATGAGGTTTTTTCAGGCAAAATGTTTTGGGCAATGCCTGGCACACAGTAAGTGCTCAATAAAGGCCATTATTTGAGTGAATTCATGCTCACCATTTATTGAACACGTACTATGTGCAGGGCACAGAGCAAAGGACATTGTCTCATTATCCACCAATCCGGGAGCTCCAGGAAGGCAAGCCCACTGCCTTATTCACCACAGTGTCCCCAGCACCCTGCACAGGATAACTGTACTTGTCTTTGGTCGCTTGCATCTTTCAAGCTTCAGTTAAATGCCATTGCCGTTGAGGCATCCAAGAGTTTTGAGCCCTTCCAGTGTGGTCCTGATAGCAGGGGCTGGGTGAAGGATGACCAGCCATCCTATTTTGCCTGGAACTGAAGGGTCTCCTGGGACACGGGACTTATGGTGCTAAAACCAGGACAGTCCCAGCATACTGGGATGAATTGGTCACCCTGGGCTGTGGATACAGCTGAGAACAAGGCAGACACAGCCATCTCCTCCAGGAAGCCCTCCCTGAGCCACCCCTCCACCAATGGCTCAGGAGCTGCCTCTAGGCTTCCCAGAGGCTGCCTGTGCGCCTCCCGTTACAGCACCATCATCCTGATCGCACCTGTATCCTCTGCTCTGGGAGGGCAGAGGCAGCTCTTTTCCAGGTTACTGCTGCATTTCCAAAACCTACCACAGAGCCTCACGCCTAATAAAGACAGTCTAATGAATGAAAGCCAGAAGGCAGGCCTTGCCTCACAGATGAGCAAACTGAGGCTCAGAGGAGCAGCTGCTTGGGTAGGATTTCCCAGCGGGGAGGTGGAGCAGCTGGGGTTTGAACCCCTGTTTGCTGAGACTCTGTCCCACCAGAGGCTCCCGCCCGGCGCTCACCGTATTGTAGAACTCGGCCACCAGCTCCCAGTGCTGGAAGTTGCTCTCACACCAGTCCACCTCCGAGCTCTGGTAGGCGAAGATGCTGGGCATCCTGACGCAGTGCCTGCCATCCGCTCGCTGCATCTGGCAGAGAGGAGCACGGGAGCCTAGAGAGGGCCGGGCCCAGCCAAGGCGGGGAAGAGATGGTGGGGTGCCCCGCAGCAGGCAGAGAGGAAAAACCTGCTGGACGGCTCCCTGGTGGCACCAGGACAGCCTGCCCGGTGTGGTGGCGGCCAGCCGCTGCCCTGGGCATAAGCAGAGGGGTTGGCACTGTCCAGGCAGGGCAGGGGTGATTGGGGAGGGGGCCTCCCTTCCCTGCCCACCTAGGAGTGGGAGTTAGGGTGACTGTTTTTTGGAACGGTAATTTTTTTTTTTTTTGCAGTACGCGGGCCTCTCACTGCTGTGGCCTCTCCCATTGCGGAGCACGCGCAGGCTCAGCGGCCATGGCTCACGGGCCCAGCCGCTCCGCGGCATGTGGGATCTTCCCAGACCGGGGCACGAACCCGTGTCCCCTGCATCGGCAGGCGGACTCTCAACCACTGTGCCACCAGGGAAGCCCTGGAACAGTAATTTAACATAATGGTGATGGGGACCTCCCTGGTGGTCCAGTGGCTAAGACTCCACTCTCCCAATGCACGGGGCCCCGGTTCCATCCCTGGTCAGGGAACTAGATCCCGCATGCTGCAACTAAGACCCAGAGCAACCAAATAAATAAACAAATATTAAAAAAAAAAAATAAAGTAATGATGATGATGATCCCACTGGGATGAGTACTTTGCCATCCCCACTTTGCAGATGGGCAAACTGAGGCAGAGAGCAAAGTCATTTGCACAGAGCATGCAAGGTGATGACACCAAGATCTGAAAACAGGCAGGCTCCAGACTCCGAGCTTCTATTTTTTTTTAATTTATTTTTTCTTTTTTTTGACCGCACTGTGTGGCTTGCAGGATCTTAGGTCCCCGACCAGGGACTGAACCCAGGCCACCGTAGTGAAAACGCCAAGTCCTAACCACTGGACTGCCAGGGAATTCCCCAGACTCCAAGCTTCTAACCATTAGGTGTTACTACCTCGACATAGCCAAAGCTCCACACTGCTGCTTCCCAGATTAGGGCCAACAGCTGGACACCTGCCCCGACGGACTCCACTCAGCTCCCTTGGAATCCTTGGTGATAGAACCTCCTTTGGGGGCCTCAGTCTTCCTGTCTGTGCTATGGAAGGTTAGGCTGGATTGAAGCCATTTCTCTTGGGTGGACAAGACCTCATACACCTAGAGTGTCCCAGCTTCCACCAAAGCATCCCTGAGGGGAGGAATCTGTGGAGTTCTGGGCCTGGGGTCCCCAGTCCTGGCTTCCCAGGGCTGTGGAAAGCTCCGGTTTGAGAGTCAGACAGGCCTGAGTTTGAATTCTGAGTTCCTCCTGTTCCTAAGCTGTGTGGCCTTGGGCAAGTGAATGCACCTCTCTGAGCCTCAGCTTTCTCACCTGTAAGATGGGAATAATAATAGTACCTCCCTCTTAGGCCTACTGTGAAGATTTAATGAGCTGATACAGCATTTCCCTAGGAAGGAAATTTTTGGTGATGGTGGCCCTGCATTTAGAATCACTGAACTGTGTGGCGAGAAATCTACTTACTCCCTTTCCAATTCTCAATAGTTCCAGGAGAGGGGCTCAGTTGGTGCTAATACATGTTTATGCCTCAACATTTAATCCCTTTGTTTGTTAAAAAGCCCTTCAGCAGGCAACAGTATCCAGCTAGACTGTCTTGATATTATTTACATGGTATTTATTTATTTCATTTTTTAAAATAAATTTATTTATTTATTTTTGGCTGTGTTGGGTCTTCATTGCTGCGTGGGCTTTAAGAATTAAAAATGGTTAACATGGTACTTTTCATGTTATGTATATTTTACCACATTTTTTTTAAGTAATTGATTTAGGTTTTTAAAGGGGGTGTTATTTGACAAAATATCTTACATAAATAAGAGTTTCGGTGGGGGGTGGATATAGGAAAACCCCGAGGGTCCTCTGTAAATTCAAAACTTGGGAACTGTTGAGGTTGTGTAGACTCAGGCCTCAGCCCAGAGTTGGCACTGAATGAAAAGAGGCTATTAAACCATCATCATCATGATCATCATCATTGCCATCATCATCTACAACAGCGGTCCCCAACCTTTTTGACACCAGGAACCAGTTTCGTGGAAGACAATTTTTCCACGGAAGGGGCCGGGGGGATGGTTCAGTCTTTAATGCGAGCAATGGGGAGCACGGCCTGGGGGGTGGGGATCCCTGATCTACAAGGTGTAAAATGCTTCCACGTTCACACTCTTCCAGGTACGCAGAGAGCCGCCTTCGAGATCCTCTGGAGGGATGAGAAAGACATCACGTTTAGAGGTGACAGAAGTTTCCAGAGCCTGAATTAAAAGCTCGACCTGGCTCTCTACTCCCCTAGATCAGCAAAAAACCCACCTGTAGCCATAGCCCTGGCCCCAAATTCCTTCCCCAGGTGGACCAGGAGAGCAAACACACACCACTGGGACTTCCCCAGTGGCGCAGTGGCTAAGACTCCGGGCTCCCAATGCAGGGGACCCAGGTTCGATCCCCGGTCGGGGAACTAGATCTCACACGTCGCAAGGCAGCTAAAGATCCCATGTGCTGCAACTAAGACCCGGAACGGCCAAATAAAAAAATAAATATTAAAACACACACACACACACCGCCACTGCTGCCACCCCAGCCTCTCCCAGCCCAGCTGGAAGCAGACAGCCTCCTGTGTCCCTCCCTAGTCAAATCTGGGCGAGTACACAGCCATCAGGATCTGGCTCTCCTGGATCTTGCTTAAGGGTTTAGCAGCCGGAAGCAAGGTGGTAACAGGTGCCCACACCCAGCGCAGCCTGCAGTTTGGGAAATCACCCTGTACTGCACACGTGCACAGAGGCAACAGGACGGTGAGACAGGTGTGTGGGTGCTGAAGGGGTGGTGCTCGCCCTCTACCAGCGAGCAGGTATGAAGGGCCAGAGCTTGGGTGGAGGGGTGACGCGTCTCCGTGGCCGCTGCAACAAATTAGCACAAACAGTGGCTTGAGACAACACGCATTTACTATCGTACGGTTCTGGAGATCAGGAGTTCGGAAGGCGTCCTATGGGGCAAAAACCCAGGTGTGGGCAGGGCTGGTTCCTTCTGGAGGCTCCAGGGAAGAATCCACATCCTGGCTTTCTCTGGCTTCTAGGGGCTGCCTGCATTCCTTGACTCATGGCCCCTTCCTCCATCTTCAAAGTGCATCATCCGGGACTTGCCTGGTGGCGCAGTGGTTAAGAACCCACCTGCCAATGCAGGGGACACGGGTTCGAGCCCTGGTCCGGGAAGATGCCACATCCCCGGAATAACTAAGCCTGTGCACCACAACTACTGAGCCTGCGCTGTAGAGCCTGCAAGCCACAACTACTGAAGCCCGCGTGCCACAACTACTGAAGCCTGTGCGCCTAGAGCCCGTGCTCCGCAACAAGAGAAGCCACCGCAATGAGAAGCCCACGTGCAGCAACACAGACCCATCGCAGACAAAAAAGAAAAAAAAGGAAAAAGAAAAGAAAACCAAAACGCATCATCCCTTCTTTTGATGCCATAATCTTACCCCTTTTCTCTGATCTGGAGCTTCTTATAAAGACCCTTGTGATGGGGACGTCCCTGGTGGTCCAGTGGCTAAGACTCCGTGCTCCCAGTGCAGGGGGGCTGGCTTCGATCCCTGGTTAGGGAACTAGATCCTGCATGCCGCAATTGAGACCTGGTGCACCAGATAAATAAATAAATACATACTAAAATAAAACAAGACGCTTGTGATGACACTGGGTCCACGAGGACAATGCGAGACAATCTCCTCTTCTCAACATCCTCAATTCAATGACACCTTTGCCATGGAAGGTGACATATCCCCAAGGTTTGGTAACAAGGATGTGGACATTTGGAGGGAACCAATCATCTACTCACGGAAGAGGGTGAGCGGGATGGGCGCTGGGGCTGAACTAAATTGAAGTTGAGATAGACACGAGGATGGAATTGGGGATAAGAATGGATACAGGGTTGGGAACTGGCCTGGGGATCAGGTTGGGGTGGAGGGTGGAGGCTGAGTTGGGATTGGAGATGAGGCTAAAGACAGCATTGGAAATGGAAGGCGTTGGGGATGGAAATGGGGACGGGGACATGGACAGCGTTGGGGCTGAGTTGGAGAACAACATTGGGATGGGTCTGGGGATGAGGATGGACTTGACAGCACGGTGGGGGATGGGAATGGGGACCTCACCTCATCGGAAGTGAAGCAGTGGATGGGACTCTGTCCATGATGGACATGTGCATCTCACCCCAGATCAGTTCCCATGGGGCTTGAAAGGGTGGGAGGTAGATGCCAGTGGGGTGGTGAGGAGGTTGACAAAGAGCTGCCAAGAGAAAATGAAACTCGCTGATAATCTTACAGTCCAGAGATAACTGCTGTTCATATCGGGTTAGGGTTAGGGCTTTCGATTTAAACAATCATTCGTATTATTATTATTATTATTATTTTTTTTTTTACAAAGATTTGGGTGTCGTTGTATGTCGTCCCTAAGTTTTTCACTTAAAATGCCATTAACAGGGCTTCCCTGGTGGCGCAGTGGTTGGGAATCTGCCTGCCGATGCAGGGGACACAGGTTCGAGCCCTGGTCTGGGAAGATCCCATATGCCGCGGAGCAACTAAGCCCGTGAGCCACAGCTACTGAGCCTGCGTGTCTGGAGCCTGTGCTCCGCAACGGGAGAGGCTGCAACAGTGAGGGGCCCGCGCACAGCGATGAAGAGTGGCCGCCGCTCGCCGCAACTGGAGAGAGCCCTCGCGCAGAAACGAAGACCCAACACAGCCAAAAATAAATAAATAAATTAATTAATTAATTTTAAAAAAATGCCATTAACAGCCTTCCATATTTTGAAGGCTTCTTCACTATAATTCTTTTAAGTTTTATTCCTACTTTTAACTATGGGAAAATACACAGAACATAACTCTTGCCATCTTAACCATTTTTAAGTGCACAGCT